TGTTGTTGTACAGAAGCCCGTTTTGTTCCGGGATCCTTGCAGGTATGTGTGTATGTGTTGCTGTATGTAGATGTACTTGGTAGACATGGCCTGAAGGTAAGACTATAACTACGTGTTGAAAATGTCTGTGCTGGTACTACAGCAATGTGCGGGATCATAAAAATAATGTGTTCTTCCATATTAAAAGCATGCAAACCTATTCTACTAGAAACCCAAATTAAAAGTATAAACCTGAAAATGAGTATAATATGGCCTCTTTAATGCTAAGCACCAACTTGTCAATCATATTCATTCATGCATGACCGTGAGTTCAAGTGGCCGACCTGCTAAACCTCAAAGCCACAGTAGCACCGTGGGCCACTGGTATGATATCTAGATTTTTAGTCTTCTTGATCAATTACTAGGGTAGCAACATCCAAAGATGCTTTAATCAGTGTGTTAAAGTGTAGTAGAAATGTAGAAATATTTAGATGGGAATATTAATAATATCTCTCCCATGAGCTGGAGCTGTAAACCTTTACATTGGAATGAAATCTTTTAAAGAAATTCTTCATTTAAAGGCATTTGACTACCAGTTGCCATCAGAAACCACATTTTCAACAGGTTTTGCAATCATATTTCACGTCTGCCCAGTGGCAATGTCTTTTTCAAACTCAACTAGATGGTGGAAATTTGGTATTTGACATACACACATTACCTAAATGTGGAGTTGCTGCAGGCTGGAGAGCAATGCACGATCCCCCCAGTATTAATTATGTTGATATTGCTCTTAAAAATTAGTTTAATCTAAAAGGATTGTATTTCATAGATTGTATTTCAAGTAATTAAAGCAAGTAATTTGAACCTTATATTAGGGCCAATTATTTGTGATGTGCAGAAGCTTGTTAATTGAGGTAAGAAGAAGGCAAGATCCATTATCGCACTGAACAGTCTGCTTTGATAAGGAAGCCACAGTTGTGTAACCACAGCAACACCCGCTTCACTGAAGGAGAAGTGAGAGAGTTCAGGACCAGATTTGCATTTTTGCTTTTAAGGATGATTGGCTCATGAGTTTCTATTGGTTTTTCACATAACTATCTAATTCATGAGGGTACTTAACCCTTGTTTTGACCAGGAGAATGCATGGCCAAGTGTTGGGTGGTTAATATACTGAGTACAAAATGCTCTTTTTTGTGTGTTTTTTTTTTAATGAAAGCAATTTGTGTAGCCTAAGTAACATCATTTTAAGTGCCCTAATAGATATTAGGTTATGGGACAGTTGTAAAACGGGCAAATAAAAGTGCGGGAGTCAAAATTTGCCTATAGATCTCACATTAGATATGAGTAGTGCACACCTGACTGGACACTATGAGTGTACAGGAATGTTGTAAGAGATAATGTCAATATGAGAGGGTAACTTCACATATTCATGTAATAAATATGGTGTTTGGCTTGCATAGTGTACATAAATATGTAGGAAAATAACATTTTCCCCAGGGGTTATTTCAGCTCATATTAATCAGCAGTACAAGAACAATAGACTGCATAACAGAGTGGGTGATTAGAGCAGGGATTTTTTTTATAAGCTGCTCATAAAGAACACAAAAACATGAATTTAAAATGGAATTTATTTCATTATGAAAGTGCATCACTGCAATAATCATATTTGTTGGGTGTAATGTTATCCTGCAAGAACAGGATCCAGGACCTCCCAGACAGTGGACTGACACGTACTTGATTGGATCCAGCACTTTATTGTCACTATCAAAATCTGCAAGACACATACCTGTAGCTGCACGGTATGCTGACAAGTGATTTAATGCTTTTAGATTTCTAAATATTTTGGCATTTGATCGCTGTGAGCCCCACATCTAAACACGTGGTCATTTGTGCAGTAAAATGGTGAAATGAGTATGGCTAAAAGAAGAACAATTGTTTATTCCTCTAGAATATCCAGTCCCAGGTCGAGCTCATCAGAAGTCCACTCCAGTCCAGAGCTTCAGCATTCTCTTCATCCCATCACCACCACCACCAGTGCGCCTAGATTTTCTTTTTCACCTTACGGCTTCACCACCCCCTTGAAATATATCATGGTATCACGATGGGGTCTAATTACCAAAGACTATTCATATTTTCCATATTCATTGTGCATGTGTCAATAAATTATTTGTTCTCTTCAATGTCACATAAATGCAACGTATGAACAAAAATGCTTGCTTTCTATATTACAAATCACAAGCTATGAATGGACTGTACAGGGAGGTGTGTTACTCCGTTACAAATTACACATATAAAGTCTATGTCAAAGCAAAGAATCTTGTCTAACTCCTTATTGGTAGCTAGTATGACATTAGGCTAATATCATGGACAGCCTTTGCAATCAATTTGTCCTGATGAGAATGCATTGAAGGTCTCTTTATACTACTCTACCTCCACAATAACATGCTATGGTGGTATGCACACAGTCACATACTATGAAACGCTATCATTTACAATATTTCTGGATGACCTCAAGGCCAGCTGTCTGAGTCACAAACAGAGACCCTAAAGCTGCTACAGCTGATTTCACTGCATATTATATATATATATATATATATATATATATATATATATGTTTGCACTACCCAAGAATGCCAAAGAAAATAAATTAAGTCATGGTTTCCTAATTGTCATTACTGTAATATTTTATGATATATCATGACTAAAAGTGAATAGTGGTAATGGAGTATGTAAGGTTTTCTCAGTGAAAACCATCTTTTCAATTACTTTTCATCTCATGTCAAACATCATGTTGTGTCATGTTTGACAAGTACTTAGTCTAATTAAACAAGGAAATGAAATCAATAGTTTGTCATGTTAATTAGTATAAAAATCTCCTCCAAAGTTTATCTGATTAGACTGATTAGACATTACTGTGTAATTGCATTATATTTTCCGATGAAATAGGACCAAACTTTTTGGTTTCTCCTTGTCACAACTCTTCTCCCTGGATGATAAATGAAGGTAATTTAAATCTCCCACAGTCGCTTGTTTTTTGCATTAAGGGGATTTCACCTGAATTGACTCTGGCTGATGAATGGAATTTACATTTGTGGTATAATTGGAGGATGATTATAATTAGAATAAATGGAATACTTATAAATCTAAAGTCTGCATAGAGTTGCTCTGTTGTGTACAGCAAAGCATTAGTCCATGATAGTGCAAGGCCAACATGATCACCAGTGGATGTTGTGTTTGCTCCATGTCTGTCCATCTGTATCCAAATAGGTACACAGCATGCCTCTGTGATGAACCTAGACTCCAAACTGCTTGCTGTATTTGCCATCATTTGAAGGCTTGGTGTAGTAATCTGTGTATTTAACATATCAGCAGTTTTTAAATTTTTTTTTTAATCTTGAAATAAAGTCTGGCCAAACTTCAGAGTATCAGACTATTTGTCCAGACTCTCTTGGCAGAGCAGAATAACACTTGCCAGTAAGTGTTATTTTCCAATTTTACTAGATTAGTCATTGCTGTGGTACACTGCCATGACCAACGTTTTCCTGTTTGCAGTGGCTGAGGCAGCTCAAAGAGAAAATGACTATGTCAGCCAAGCCAGCCACTGCTACAGATTTAAGTGCAGTAACGGTGTTTATGTTACCCTGCCAGCCCTTCACTCAGGCACAGTCCTTCAGGCCAACTAGGAAATCACATCCAGAGCCTGATCACACCCAAACACACTGAGTTGTGTATCACATGTGAAATACTAAACATGTCTGAGAATGAATTCAGAAAATTCTGCCTTTATTCTCAGATTTAAAATCTTTCAGATTTGGCCGTTATCCTCTTCGGTATTTCTCAGAGTTTAGACCAGTGCTGGCAAAAAATGAGCACACAAACATTTTCTACTCATTTTGAGTTGAGTATGTATGTACCAGGTCTACACTGGTAGGTAGAGCATCCAGAAAACAGCCACAGCTTTACACTCTTGAGGCCAACACTGACAAAAGTATATATACCGTAAAAGTTCAATTATAATATAATAGCAGAGTCCCAAATAGCCACGTACTTCGTTTACTGGCCTGGTGTGGGAACACATTTTGACAAATAAATGCCTGCTTCATTTTTACGCCTGGTCTACTTTTTACAGCCCACTTAGGATGTTCTGTTCTCAAGCTGTGGCCTGTAGAGCATGGGGTTTTTTGTCATAGGAATATTGACTGTTTTTTATCAATATTTCAATGTTTTGGAAGCTTTATGTATACATAACTCCCAATTAAAGTGAACATATATAAATATATAGTAAATATGGCCAAAACATGGACATTCGCGTGGTATATTTTTGAAAAATTGTGTAATAACTGTTGTATATCAGTTTCTTTTCATCAAATTTACAGTTATGGTTGTATTCCAGGTGTATTAGAAGATATTCAGGTGCATTATAATCTGTTTTATGATGGTTTTGATGGTGTATTGCGAAGATGCAAATATCCAAATTTTTCTGTGTTGCATCTCCACGTAGTCTGTAATGGTAAAATAAACATGTTAATGTACAATGTATTTACATTCCTTAGCTTCTGACCTTTCAAAGGAGACCAGAATTATGCATCTAGGCCTAATGGTTGAGGAGATATTACTGATTTATTTTGGGTGTGTTATTTTAGGCGTATTTCCTGGAAATAGGTGCCAAGTACCATGTAGTTAACCGTACCTTAGTTGCCATGCACAGATGGTGCAGAATGAATTAGAATGAAAATTAAACCATGTAAACCTGTTTTGGTACAACCCCTAAATAAGATTTTGAACCTGGACATGTTTTGTGTAGTGATTTAACTTTCATTGTCTCCAATTTGTTTTTCCTGCTATAAAGGTTTTGGTAGATTTTGGTTTATCTATTGAAAAAATAAGAAAATGCATTGACTATACTTACATTGTTCAGCAAAAGACCAAAGCCTGTTTTTTTTGCATTTAGCTTTGGAGCCCAGATCGGGCTTAATAAAACAACTCTCTCTCTCTCCGACTCTGCCAATCATCTGTGTTGATGTGTGTCATGTGTTTCAATGCCCACTGGAAAGTGGGAAGAAAAAGAGTGCAACACCTTGCTAAAGTGGAGCTTCTTAAAATCCCAAATGATTCAGGGAAGAGCCTTCCATTGTGGAAACATTATGATTTTGCTGCGACAACAGTTTAAAAACTCATTAGCTACGTAAAGTGAAGAGATTGCAATGCTATTCAAACATAAGATAGTAAAAAGAATGGCATTTCCTGTACGTTCTGTTCTTGATTAAAACAGTTTAGACTGTTAAGTTGAGCTGGGAAAAACATAGAATTTAACAGCCACATTCATCTAGTTGATACTGGAAAAAGGTGAAGTTTATTCACTAACTGGTAAGTCAGATTTTGAGATGCTATAGTGTTGCTGTTCGTTGACCTCAATGTGCCTTTAAATATATGGCTTATTAGCTTGTACAATATATGTTTTATACAGGTGGGCAGCCGTGACATATTCGGTGTTGGTCTATTGCCTTTCCAAAGCAACCAAAATATAGTCTCTGCCTCAAGCAGGGGCTGAAAGGTGTGGGTACAGGCCGCCTTCAGTCTTGATTTTAGGCCAGTTCAGAACTCTAAATTCAATACAATTATCACAGTGAATTAAGTAAAACCCACAATGATTTCATAAGTTATCAGCTAAATGTAGCCTTTAGCTAAAGATTTTTGAAATATTATGAAGCATGAACTGCCTTACTTCCAGTGAATGCTAGTGCCTGTTAGCTTCTCCCCCTGCATAATACAAACTGAAAAACAGAAAAGCGTGTATGATATATTAGAAGGTCCAAACTCAGTACGTACCAAAGCAACATAAGATCTGAACTTACCTGCACTAGTTGAGATTTTCTGATCTGCCACATCAGTTGCTACATCTGAAAAGATGAAAGGATTTTTATTTAAATTTCGGTTTAAAAAGATGCGACTTTTGTTAGCATGGGTACTACCACAGAATATGCAACATGGATAGATTTTCCATAAAAAAACAACATAAATTTTAAAGAGGTGGTATTATGCATTTTGGCTTTTTCCCCTCTCCTTTATTGAGTTGTCTTTTTTGTGCATGTAACAGGTTTGCAAAGTGAAAAAGTCCAAAGTCCAGCCCAAGCTCTGCTCTGAACTGCTTGAAAACAGCAGAGGAGTTGTTGTAAATGTAGCTAAAGTTATAGCTATAATGCTAATGTTTCACCTGATGTGAAAGCTACTGAGCAAACATTCAAATTGTCTGGCCAATTTTTATGTAATATTGAGTTGAAATATGGTGATTTTTGTAGTGGTTTACGGTAAGATGTGGAACAATGATGTTGTGTGGATGTGGACTTGAGTCCTTACTATACCATCTGCTAGGTTAAGGTCGCAGTCTGAAGCGGCTTTGATTTGGATCACACTACCTTGTTTCTTACGACCCGCTCTTCTCTGCTTCTGATTGACTAGTAGTCCTTATCTGGGAACTGCGCATGTGCAACTCCCAACAAAAATTTTGTAAGTAAGATGCATCACTCTGTAGCTGAAGAGCGGAGCGTACAACACATATAGGGTGAAAAAGGAGCTGCAGCAATGTGCAATATGAGAAAAATATGGCGTTTTTTGAAAATTAAACCATGTAAACCTGTTCTGGTACAACCCCTAATTAAGATTTTGAACCTGAAAATGAACATAATACTTTTAATGAAATGCTACAAATGACCATGACGTGTACCAGTAAATACTATTTGTTTCATTCTGCAACAACCTCCCTAAAATAATACTTTCATTGACTGAGAAAACTGACTCACCCAGTTATCCCATGATTTAATAATCACTTGGCTTAGTCTCTTATTCATGAATCACAATTGGCATATGGTTAATTACATCAGTTGACAATCAAACAAAAACAAACAACAAAAAGCCAACAGCCTCCTGCCCACATTTCAGCTCATCTCTATGCTCCTTCCCTTTTTTTTTTCTTTTTTTTTTATCATTGCCCACTTTGCTTTAAGTCAAGCCAATGCCCAGATAGCTGTTTCACTGGCCAACAGTGTCTAGCATCACAGCAGGAAAGGAGCAATCATGTCATGAAAAAAATGTCCACGTTAAAAGAATGCTGAGAGAAAAGGAGGAATCTGAATGAAGACAGAAATAAGAGATGCTGTGGATAATGGATATCGTTTGTGTGAAGCTCAGGGGCAGAGGCAGACATAAAAATTCAGGGCTTAGCCCAAACGAAGGAGGGTCAGGGGGGCGTGCTCCCCGGGTAGTTATTTTTTTTTTTTCCCTTTTACGGCATTAAATGCACTATTTTCCAGTCCATTTGATATAATAGAATGGCTAAAAATCTGTACATGATTTGGACAAAAGATGGTCATTACCCAGATATAGTAAATCAAGGCTCTCCAACAGCGCCAAGTAAATGTGGTCTTTAATACCCTAAATTGAATATTAGACGAAGAACATTTACTCATCAAACACAGTGACATCTGGCGGCTTGTAAAACTTCTAGTAGCCTTTGAGACTGGGGCAAAAGCACCACTACACCATGCTGATTTAATAGTTTAGTCCCATGTTCAAGAAACCTGCGTTTTATTATTAAATATACCTTTGTTCAGTGCTGCATTAGATATAAAGCCTAGCTAAAATATTTTTGCTGACATGAAACATAAATGTATCTTTTTGGTTTAGTTTAGTCCGCGTGCCACCGTGGGCTCATGTTTTTAAACTTCATGGTTGAAATTTACATGACATTTCATATGAGTTGCACTGTGATTTGATTGGAGAGTGATAATTGATTTATTTCTTTGTTTCAGGAGGAAATGTACTTATGATTATGTCTTTCTACTGCAAATCAGCATATTTCTCTATCATCTCTTCTTATTCTACTAATGTGCTGAATATATCCATATCAGCTTCTCTATTAACCTTTTATTAGCATTTCATAGACAATTCATCCTCAAATATAAAGCTTAAAAGTTCCAGAAAATTTATTTTCTATTTACTTTTCTGCATCTCTGCAAAGTTGACCATTTGCTGAAGCATAGACCTCTCCTATTGATACTTACGCAACACCACCCCAAGTCAGAAATTATCATGTATTTGAACCAATCTGAGCTGCAGTAAAAAAAAATCGAATCTCCTTAGCATATTGTCAGTTGGGAATATAGAAAGGGAAAAAATAGATTCACATGCCAGTGCAGAAAAAAAAAAATGAAGAGTTCTCAATGTCTGTTGGTTGAAAACCTTGGATCTACAAAATTTAAGCTCCTTAAGCACAGGTTGCTCTCTATACATATATACATCTAATTATATACATTATTCTCCAATATTTTATGACAGGAAAAAATAATATACATATATTTATTATACATTTTACACATGCAAAGGTAAGAGCAAAATACTAATAAGGGTTTAAGGCACGAAAGTGCAGGACTACGGAGAATTAATCATCTATACAACCATAACTGAATTTATGAGGTCTGAATCTCCCTCTTAAATCTTCAATAGTCAGTTTTAAGTTCTGCAATTTCAAAACCTCCAGTAAATATACAATGACCAGCCATATCATTATCACCACTGACAGGTGAAGTGTACAGGTGCTGGTCATATAATTAGAATATCATCAAAAAGTTGATTTATTTCAGTAATTCCATTCAAAAAGTGAAACTTGGATATTTTATTCATTCATTACACACAGACTGATATATTTCAAGTTTATTTCATTTAATTGTGATGATTAAAACTGACAGCTAATGAAAATCTCAAATTCAGTATCGCCGAAAATTTGAATATTACTTAAGACCAATACAAAAAAAGGATTTTTAGAAATGTTGGCCAACTGAAAAGTATGAACATGAAAAGTATGAGCATGTACAGCACTCAATACTTAGTTGGGTCTCCTTTTGCCTGAATTACTGCAGCAATGCGGCGTCGCATGGAGTCGATCAGTCTGTGGCACTGCTCAGGTGTTATGAGAGCCCAGGTTGCTCTGATAGTGGCCTTCAACTCTTCTGCATTGTTGGGTCTGGCGTATCGCATCTTCCTCTTCACAATACCCCATAGATTTTCTATAGGGTGAAGGTCAGGCCAGTTTACTGGCCAATTAAGAACAGGGATACCATGGTCCTTAAACCAGGTACTGGTAGATTTGGCAATGTGTGCAGGACCCAAGTCCTGTTGGAAAATGAAATCTGCATCTCCATAAAGTTGGTCAGCAGCAGGAAGCATGAAGTGCTCTAAAACTTCCTGGTAGACGGCTGCGTTGACCTTGGACCTCAGAAAACACAGTGGACCAACACCAGCAGATGACATGGCACCCCAAACCATCACTGACTGTGGAAACTTTACACTGGACTTCAAGCAACATGGATTCTGCGCCTCTCCTCTCTTCCTCCAGACTCTGGGACCTTGATTTCTAAAGGAAATGCAAAAAACATAACTTTGGACCACTCAGCAGCAGTCCAGTCCTTTTTGTCTTTAGCCCAGGCGAGACGCTTCTGACGCTGTGTCTTGTTCAAGAGTGGCTTGACACAAGGAATGCGACAGCTCAAACCCATGTCTTGCATACGTCTGTGCGTGGTGGTTCTTGAAGCACTGACTCCAGCTGCAGTCCACTCTTTGTGAATCTCCCCCACATTTTTGAATGGGTTTTGTTTCACAATCCTCTCCAGGGTGCGGTTATCCCTATTGCTTGTACACTTTTTTCTACCACATCTTTTCCTTCCCTTCGCCTCTCTATTAATGTGCTTGGACACAGAGCTTTGTGAACAGCCAGCCTCTTTAGCAATGACCTTTTGTGTCTCGCCCTCCTCGTGCAAGGTGTCAATGGTCTTTTGGACAGCTATCAAGTCAGCAGTCTTCCCCATGATTGTGTAGCCTACAGAACTAGACTGAGAGACCATTTAAAGGCCTTTGCAGGTGTTTTGAGTTAATTAGCTGATTAGAGTGTGGCACCAGGTGTCTTCAATATTGAACCTTTTCAAAATATTCTAATTTACTGAGATACTGATTTTGGGGTTTTCATTAGTTGTCAGTTATAATCATCAAAATTAAAAGGAATGAACACTTGAAATATATCAGTCTGTGTGGAATGAATGTATACATTATACAAGTTTGACTTTTTGAATGGAATTACTGAAATAAATCAACTTTTTGATGATATTCTAATTATATGACCAGCACCTGTATAACATTAATTACATCAGTATCATGGCATCAGTGGGTGGGATACATTAGGCAGTTAGTGAACATTTTGTTCTCAACGTTGTTGTATTAGAAGCAGGAAAAATGGGCAAGTGTAAGTATTTGAGGGACTTTGACAAGGACCAAATTGTGATGGCCAAAAGACTGGGTCAAAACAAACAGCAGCTCCTGTGGGGTCTGCATTGGTCAGCTCCTATCAAAAGTGGTCCAAGGAAGGAGAAGCAGTGAACTGGTGACAGGATCATGGGTGGCCAAGGCACATGTGGAGCGAAGGCTGGCTCAAAACTGCCTTATATCAGGATGCCCCTCATTCAAGCTATGGAGGATGCCAGCGACCAAATAGATGCAGTATCTGTGCAAGTGTGGATTCGCCATTCAAGACCTCGCTGTCTTGCAAGAGAGGACAGGCCAGATCCAGCCAGGCGAAGAGATAATTAGGTTTTTGTGTTTTCTGTACTGTACTTCATGCTTTCCACAATTGGTTTTGCTGAAAATAAATACATATGCAGTACTGTGTGTGCTTTGTTTGATCAATATATCCAGTACTCCAACAATACTGTATCTCTGAAAAGTCAAATGCAAACTATTTTCATTTGAAAAGTAAGAATTTTAAATGTGATTTAGCATAGCAGTGTTTAACTGGTTCAAACTTAGATTATTTGAACCGTATGTGTGCCACACAAATTATTGTATATTTTTGAATGAAGGGTTTCATTTTGCAAACTATCTACTATGTTCTGCTACTTGTGTGAATAGTGTGTAGTGTTTTGACAAAATGAGCCCTGCTTTCAAAATCATGCTTAAGCATTCAAAAAAAGCTGTAACTGAAACATCTGCTTATTATGTGATCCCCATGGTTCATATGCTCCTCTCCAGGCCACACTGACACTCCTATGCATACTACAGAAGTTACACTTAAAAAAAACTATAGGAAACCACCAGGTTATATTTTTTATTATTATTATTATTATTATTATATCTTAACACAAACACATGTAAACATATCTAAAATGCTTCACTTTACACTTTAATGCAGACCTGACGTGTGCACTGTAAACTGTATAATGTAGGATTTAAATGAGTCCAGTACAGCCAGAAGTGAAAGTTTCCTGCTGATCATACCTGCACTTCAGTGTAGGAATGTGAAGGCGTCAAAGACAGTCCTGCATAGATTATCAGAAACTTTGAATGTTAGAATCATACAGAATAACCATGTGTCATATCCGACTATGATTAAAAGCTGGATACGTCATAAAAAGGGACACTAGTGTGCATGCAAAGGTACTCATTGAGAGACTATATTACACTGGTGACATGACACACATCAGAAGTTGAGTGTAGCTGAATAAAGTTTCATTCATTTAAATATTATAAAACCATTATTATTGTTATAAAATGTTATATTAATGAGAAAATTAAAGTCCCCTCAGTGGTGCCAGTGGATGCCTGGTCTAGTGCAACAAAATACTCAGAAAAAGCCTCAGTTGGTGGCATCAGTTTGATGCGGAAGGTGCTCCTGTGTTCATCCAGAAAAGCATGAAAGGAGTGTTCATGATACTCTGTTTAAGCTTGAGGTTGATGATCCTGTTGGTGCTGCAGAATGATAGTGCAGATGAAAGCCAGGGCTCTCCTCAGGAAGTACAGCAGGCTCTGAGATGTCTTGCTGTTTAAGCTTAATTAGCATGTAGCTTGGAGTTTATCTAGCTTTCAAAGCCAAAGAATCATAGATTTTTCTAATAAAAACTAAAAATTTATTTTTCCTTGAAGTCAAAGATGCAAAATACTGAAGATGGATTTTGAAGGCTTTCACATGACAAGAGTAATATGTATCTGTGCCAATCACTCTTTCCATCTTTGCTTTCAAAGTGACTTTAAGTGAGTAATGGTGGGGGGGATCTCAGCAGTGTGCAGTACAGAAGGTGAAAAGACCTTTAGCTGACCGTCATAGCTGATGAAACCTGATTTCAAAATCCAAGCACCTCTTTAATTAAAATAAACAATTGTTGTTACTGTGTCCAAACCTGCTGGCAGCAACATTACAACACTGACTTATTGGACACTACATGAAGTGTCCTTGAGCAAGACACTGGATCCCTTACAGCTTCAGGCTTCTATTCTGTATTTGACCCAGACCCTTGAGTAAAGAACAACAGAAAAGGTCTTACGCATAGAGATCATTATATAGCTTTGAAGAGATTTGAAAATCTGCTGCAGTGTAATAATACAGTGGTTCTAAATTGTGTTTGGAAGTCAGTTTGTGCAAACTTTAATCTTAAAACTGTATGCAAACCCTGTACATACCTGGGATTAGATGGAAATTGAAAACAATCACTGATGTCCCCAAATAAGTAGTTAAAACAGAAACATTTGTGACACATCTCCAAAAAACATCATTATGAATGGATGAAATAAATAGTTACTGTCTTTAAAGATACTGAAACTTGTAATTTTGCTTTCGCAAATAGAAACACAAATACAAAGTTCTCTCACACACTCACGAGTTCCCACATGGAGGGGTTAATTATGGCCACAGATCTTATTGCATGAGAACAGTTTCGTACACAATTGGCAATGTTCACTGATGGGAAGCAATTCAGTCTTATTACTAGTGACTCAAACTAGTTGGTCTACATTGCCTCCTACTGTCTAGGGCTGGGCAAAATTCTGGTTGAGTCAAATACAGCATATGGCTTTGCAGTTTTGAGCCGTCGCAGCAGCTTCTGCATACAACCACAGTAAGCTCAGGGGGAAGTGTGTTGGCACAGATCAATGACCAACAACTTCAGTTAATAACTACTGGTGGGGAGGCGCGAGGAAAATGGAGGACATTACCATGTGTGTTTTCTGGCTTTTTATTGCTGTATTTTTATGGCGCCGTGATAAAAGTCAGACAGATCCAACAGTTTGTCAGGCTTTGCAACACTAACTAAAGGGGTGTGGCTGAGCGAAGGGTCAATTAAAGGCCCAGCAGCGTGGTACCAATACAAAACATGAAACGTGCTATGCACAAAAAAACCCAGAAGTAAATTAGATGGAGTAGGCCGTTATTTCCCACAGAAAATCCCACAATGAAGCTTCAGGTTTCAAGTAACACAGTTGTAAAGCTAATCTTTGCCCAGACACAAGCCTCTTACTTGAAATTACTTCTTGGTAATCCGGCGGAGTCCTTCTGTGCTGGGATTGTTACGATGGGCCGGAGTACTGGATTGGCAGGGGGTCAGGGCACAGCTGATTCTTTGGGTGGCAGCAGAGGGAAAACTTGTGGAAACTGTATCTTCTTCTGCAGGTGTGAGATCTCCTGCGGGATCCAAAAATGTGTTTGATAAACACAAAACTACTCTCAACTGGCAATTTAGACTTTCACCCAGGGAATACAAAGTTCAGCACTGAAAGGGGGACGGCAAGGAGCAACTGATGCGTTCTCCTTTCACGGCTTTAGTGACACCATGGCTGCACTGCCGGGGATTCCTGCCATTCCCCGAGGGCTTTGCCAACTTAAAAATCACGCTCTGGTGTGAATCGACAGACAGAGATTTTGGCACTGTTTTCTTTGTTACAGGCTTTTTGTGTTACCTGCAGGCCTCTTGTTAGGGCTTTTTGCTTATATGCAGGCCCCATTTGTCTCCCACAACAAGTCCCAACATTCACTTTACTCAAAATTTCAATATAAATGCTTCTGAAGGGGTAAAACACTGATGGCAACTGCATGGCAGCTTCTACTGTAACCCTTAACTGTATTACTAGGACATATTTGTCATAGTTAAAGGTATCTTAAGAACATTTATTGTGCAAAACTGCAATAATAAATAGAAGAATACAAAACCTTTGTATTTTTCGAAGAACACATTAATTACCCTATTTCTAGTAGGTTATTTCTTCTTTCACCACTTTAATTCTTATTTATTTCCCACTTTATTTTAGTGTTTACTCACAAACTACTTGAATCTACTCACCTTGCTTTTGCCCTTCAGTTCTCTTTTCTCCAAACAAACACACACCTACACTTCTGTTTCTCACTGCACACGCACTGGCTTGACCCACGCCACCTCTTTGCTCTCTTCCTGTATGTGTCTGCCCTACTGACTTTCTTCGTCAGCGGTTTGTTTTCCTGCATTGTGGATTTATTTCACCTGCGATTCTGTTTTTCACAACAGCAGGTGAGCCACGTGTGGAGGAAGCTTGTTGGTACTGATGTAGCCTATCGAAACGATCAAAACCAACACGGCACTGAATCGGCACCAACAGGTCCACTTACAAGTTTTTACAAAACAACGGCATAAGTAGGTCTTCATTAAATCGGAGACTCTGTGTGTATGTGTGTTTCTCTGCTGAGCATGTGCGATTGTCAGTAAACCACACAGAAGGGTAGAGCGTCCACACTAGATAATCATTTTCAGGGCAAATTCATACCTTTGAAACGTCTGCCATGTTTAATATTAATTTTATATTATATATAAATAAAATGGAAAATAAGGGAAAGCATCAGGCACCACTTTATATCAAATTTACAAACAAAAAAATTTATTTACCCAAAGCATTCAAGCAGTTGATTTAAGCCAAAGAACACAGCTAGAATTATGGATATCTGTGTCTCAGTAAGAGAGGTGCACTGACGGACTCATCTATACAAAGAAGCCTTCCGTGACGGCCCAGTATATAGTCTAAGCATCGAGGGGAGCTTTTCCTCTTCACACTTCTCTGATTTTAGCTCAGCTTCTTAACCTCAACTGCATGAATGAATCAGCCACACAATCTACCCTCACAACAAAATATTTTTCTTTCTTAACATTTTCAGCCTGTAGATATAAGAATGGTATGGTATAAAAACTTTTTCTCTCAAATATCAGTCACTCCTACAAGTTTGTTTCAGTAGCTTACAAGTGCTCAAGACTCTTTCTGCCAAACTAGACATTAGCAGGTTCAGTAACAGCATAAAATATGTTGTATGCACTGTATTAAAAGGACAGAAACAACATACTGTAGCTCCAATGAGGCTTGGACAGTGTACAAATGGCTCACTGGAAATGCTGCTGCACCTTGCTATAGTTATAGTTTTACCTTGTTTTAAACTATGCTCAAATTGTACTTTTGTAATCAACAGCTCAACACTGGCCATAACTATGAATTAAGTACCCAAGTTGTAATAAACAGAATTCACTATTAACACGAAGAGGAGAAATAACCCAGAGAATTTCACAAAGACAGCAAAAGAAACAGAAAATAAATTAGTTATATAACTTTTTGTCTTTGTCATTGGGAAAGGGTAACAAGTAATTTCCAGTTTTGAAAAAAAATGTATTTAGTTGTGTGGGAGCAAATTTTGGTGTTTATGGTGACTTTTACAGTTCCCTCCTAGCTTCCAGCTTGTGCACCGAAAACCCTACAAATGGATCAGAATGCAACAGTGTGTCTGGTTTTCGATCACCCCAAAAAGGCTCATGATACTCCATTACTCAGCGACCTCCACTGGCTCCCCATGGCCTCCAGAATCAAAGTCACTAAACGTGAAACACAAAGCCCAGTATGGTCAACTGTACTAAATAATAGCAACACTAGCCTTTTCTACACATACACAGAGTGCCCACTGGGTCCGCATCCATCTAATACAAGCTTACGTTCCTTCTCAGCCACTGTGCTCCTCCAACAAATGCTGTCCCTCTCTAACTTTTGTACATCCTGACACTCATATCTTCAAAAAATACAATAAATTATCATTTCTATGCCAACTTCCTGTAACAGCCAATGACCCCTCCCAGTTGGTGAAACTATAGAACCCCTTGTCCATGACTGAATGTGTAACAACTGCCTATTTGAATACCCAGAAGACTCACTTGTTGGTACAGCTTTAAGTAGGTCAGTTCTCATGGATTTTTCTATTAATCTTGACAGCTGTACAAAATCTCAGAGCAATTCAGGGATAGTTTTGATTCCTCTCTTACCTCTGAGCCAGGTTTGACTAAATTCAAACAGACATCCTTGTACATACTTTTATAACGTCTAGTATCAACCACAGCAATGCACTTTTCTCTGGCCAACCCATGAAAGCAAGAAGAGGTCTTACAAAACACAACTCCCAGAGTCCTGACAAGCACTAAGACATTTAATAATTTAACACCTGTCCTATTGTCTTGTATCCTGTTGTTCCATTCTTAAATGTACTGCTAAACATCAACCTGCTAACACTGTCATTATGAGCATATTAGCATGCTAACATTATCATTCCACTCACTGTGCCTTACAGCCTCACACAGTTGTTAATGCAGCTAGACACTTGTTTTCATTTACCTACACATAGGCTGAAATTGCAAAATAGTGAACACTTTTTATCAATTAAGTTCACTGATGAGGTAAATCCATCTACTAGCTGTTTTTTCCCTTATTGATTTCCTTTATTAAATCTATATTCACAATGTAGATGTAGACAAAGAGAAGCTGTATAACACAATATCATGAGTATTGTATTCTGGGTCTATTATATGTATTTTTTTCAGTTTGGACATGTAAATAATGCCAGCCAGCAGGCTTAAACCCCATCCCTCCAGTTGAGATGTGATCTCACTAACCACTTCATAGTCTCCATCAATTATTTCAAAACATGCCTTAATTTCTGCACGCTGCCTCAGCTCATCACTGTCTGCTTGTATATTGAGTCCACATACTTAAACCTCACTGTCTGAATGGACCAGAGAAGCTGGAGGTTGAGGCATTTGGGAAAAAGAGCAATGAGTTTTCCATGTTTATGGCCCATAGCATTATTGTAGTTGACACTGAGAATAGGGCGGTGGTAAATGTAGTGACTTTTATTTCTTAACCAATCAAATCAAATAGACAGCCATTGATGTAGAACAGCCATAACCCTGGAATGCATACCTCTTTAACTTTTGGAGAACAGACATAAAAGAGATAAAGGATGTAAAGAAGAGTATCCAAGTGCCGATTAAATATTAACAACACTATTAATCAATGTGCCAGAGCAGCAATTGGTATTGACTGAATGATTCCACAGTGCAGCATCCTTTTAACAAATGCAGATTCAGAGACAACAATTACCATTTATCGACTTGAGTAGAAGCAATTACACCCCCACATAATAAATTGAAAAATATTATTGTACTGTAGATTATAATGAAAAACCAACACACTTTTGGAACGACACAATTGAATGTTGAAGAATAATATGGTGCACATGAGTAGGAATAATACTGTATTTCCTGCGGCACCAATCAGTGTTTTTACATTAATACATTGATCAAATGATTATGAATAATGTAAAAGGTTTTACTTGTGATTGCCATGAAACCCCCTGAACCCCCAGAATTATCGCACAACCCTACAGTTCCTTCCAACTCTCATGTTGATTGATTATGGTGCCCAACTTTCTTTTTGGTTCAGTTTTACTGCTCTCATCAACCCTGCTTCCAGCCATGTTCAGTAACGAAGCTCCGATAAACCCACAGTGCACCACCTGCTTATCATCAAATGGCAGACAGTACAGTGAGCAACTTAAATATAATAAATATGAGGAATAAATATGGTCAACCACAGTCGCTATTCCTGACTCTCCTCCATCTTCCTCTTCCTGGTTCTCTCCTTCTCCCCGATCCTACTGATCCTGCCCTCTCCTCCGCTTACTTCTTCACCTCCTCATCCTCCTCTAATTCTCAACCCTCTAAAGCCTCGATTGTTGGCCAAACCAAATGTTTACCTGTAGCCTATTTACATGTAGTGCTCCAGCTCTGATTGGTATGTGAAATAAAAATCAGAAACTGTTTTCACACGTGAAATGCCAGTTGGCATAAGAGTGCAAAATATAGTAATGTTTACGTTTTTGACAGAAGTGTGTTATTGAATTGCAAAATGAGTGTAAAGTAATGAGATCGGTTTTAAGGTTTGCAAAAGAGTGTTAAAAATTACAAACTGAGTGTAAAGCAGAGAACATGCATTCAGTTTGGCACACTTGGTAAATGATATTGCTACAAGTGTTAATGGTTTCAGAAATAGCGGTACAAGAATGACTGATATTAGTGTTTAAGCATTTAGAAAAAAAAACCCTAACAGCATGAACAATTTTTTTCTCTCACAAAACTCATCTTCCTTCATATAACTAGGGAACTGGCTAAATAGTGCGCCACAGTTTTAGGCAGGTGTGGAACAAATGCTGTAAAATAAGAACACTTAAAGTGGTGGTATTATGCTTTTTGGCTTATTCCCTCTCCTTTATTGAGTTATCTCTCTTTTTTGTGCATGTAACAGGTTTGCAAAGTGAAAAAGCCCAAAGTCCAGCCCAAAGGCAGTTCC